CTTGTCTCCTTTGTCAAATATTAATTGAGCATAGTGGTTTGGGTCGATTTCTGGGTTCTCTATTCTATTCCATTGATCTATATGTCTGTTCTTGTGTCAGTACCAGACGGTTTTGAGAACAGTGGCTTTGTAATACATCTTGATATCTGGTATTGAAATCCCTCCTACTTTGTTCTGAAAAGGATCGCTGCAGCTATTCGGGGTTTTTATTTTTATTCCAGATGAATTTTTGTAGAGTTCTTTTTAGATATGTGAAATATGCTGTTGGTATTTTAATGGGGAGTGCATTGAATCTCTAGATTGTTTTGGGTAGTATGGACATTTTGATGATGTTGATTCTACCAATCCATGAACACGCTATGTTCTTCCATCTGTTTATGTCTTCCTCTATCACTTTTTTCAACATCCTGTAGTTTTCAGCATACTGGTCTTTTATCTCCTTAGTTAAGTTTATTCCTAGGTATCTTAATATTTTTGGTGCGATGGTAAATGGGATTGCTTTTTTAGCCTCTCTTTCTGTAAGCTCACTATTGGTGTATAGAAATGCCATAGATTTCTTGATATTAATTTTGTATCCTGCTATATTGCCAAATTCATTTATTAAGTCTAAAAATTTTTTGATGGTGTCTTTAGAGTTTTCTATGTACAGTATCATGTCATCTGCGAATATCAGTATATGTTACTTCTTCTTTTCCAATTTGGATGCCTTTTATTTCTTCTTCTTGTCTGATCACAATGGCTAGTACCTCCAGTACTATGTCGAACAGGAGTGGTGAGAGTGGGCATCCCTGTCTTGTTCCTGTTCTTAGGGGAAATGGTTTTAGTTTTTGCCCATTGAGTACAATGTTGGCTGTGTGTTTGTCATATATGGCTTTTATTATGTTGAGGTATGATCCTTCTATTCCAACCTTGCTGAGAATTTTTATCAAGAAAGGATGCTGGATTTTGTCAAATGCTTTTTCTGCATCAATTGATATGACTATGTGGTTTTTTTCTCTCAATCTGTTTATGTGATGTATCACATTTATTGATTTGCGGATATTGTACCATCCTTGCATCCCCAGGATAAAACCTAATTGGTCATGGTGTATGATCTTTCTGATGTACTGCTGGATCTGATTTGCTAGAATTTTGTTGAGGATTTTGGCATCTATGGTCATGAGGGATATTGGCCTGTAATTCTCTTTCATTGTGTTGTCTTTATCTGGTTTTGGTATTAGGGTGATGCTGGCTTCATAGAATGAGCTTGGAAGTGTTCCTTCCTCTTGAATTTTTTGGAATAGTCTGAGGAGGATAGGTTTTAGTTCTTCCTTGAATGTTTGGTAAAACTCCCCTGTGAAGCCGTCTGGCCCTGGGCTTTTGTTTGCTGGAAGGTTTTTGATGATTGCTTCAATTTCTTCCATAGTTATTGGCCTATTGAGATTTTTAGAATCTTCCTGATTGAGTTTTGG